TCAGCTACCCCACCTCCCAAAGGGGCCCCAGCAGCTCCAGCCCCCAAAGGGGCATCAGCTACCCCACCTCCCAAAGGGACCCCAGCAGCTCCAGCCCCCAAAGAGCCCTCAGCTACCCCACCTCCCAAAGGGGCCCCAGCAACTCCAGCTCCCAAAAGAGCCCCAGAAACTCCATCTTCCAAAGGGGCCCCTACTCCCTCAGCTGTAGTTCCTCCCTCCCCCAAAGAGTCCCCAGTCCCCAAAGGAACCTCAGCAATTTCATCCTCCAAAAGAGCCCCAGCTACCCCTTCCTCCAAAGAGACTCCCACTTCTCCAGTTTCAGTCACATGTCCCTTGGAGTCCATTGCCCCTCAGGCATCTAAAGGGTCCTCGATAAAGAAAGGCCCCACAACTCTCCAAGCAGCTGTTGCCCCAGCTCCAGAAAGTATACCAGTCATCCCAGCTCCCACTCAGAAAGGTCCACTGGCCAAGAAAAGTTCTGCTACTTTACCTCCTGTGTGCCTAGATCCCTCAGCTAAGAATGGTACTAGAGGACCCCTTCCTACAGTGGCTCCAGCCCCTCTACTGACGGTCTCCTCTCAGAAAGGCTCTTCTCCAAAAACTCTAAAAGCCCTCCCTATTTCTCCTGTAAAGGACAAAGATTCTCTCCATTCCCCAAAGGGCTCCTTGGCTCCTCCTGAGTCTGAGACATCTATCCCTTTAGCAGCAGCTGCCTCTGAGAAGGTCCTTCCTAAAGCTGGATCAGCATCTGTCTCTCTAGCACCCACCCCATCAGTCCCTCTGCCTCTTGCTCCCTCCCCAGTTCCCCCTCTGCTTCCTAAACAGCCATTTCTGCCCTCCTCACCTGGGCTGGTGCTGGAATCACCCTGTAAGCCCTCAGCCCCTGCTGATGAGGATGAGCTGCCGCCTCTGATTCCCCCGGAACCAATCTCGGGGGGAATGCCTTTCCAGTCGGTCCTCGTCAACATGCCCACCCCCAAACCTGCTGGGATCCCTGCCCCAACCCCCTCTGCCAAGCAGCCTGTTCTGAAGAACAACAAGGGTATTTGCCTTGGTTTGCCGTGTGCATGGTGTGTTGCCCACACCCCTCCTGGGGGCTACCCACCAATACTAACCCTAGGATGCGCCACTTCCTCCAGTATATCTGCTTGTGTTTGAACATAGAACACAGAATGATCATTTTAAATGCAAAAGCTTTGGGAATGTGAAACAGAATCTTGGTTTTCATCACCTCACATAGTCCATTGTGTATCATCTTGTGTAATGTGGTCCAGACTAACCCTGGGTCTGCCATCTTTTTTACCTAACTTATCTGACATTGAAAACCAAGACCTAGTAGACCTTTAGTTTGCTCTAATCTCTACCACATCACTAACCTTGTCCCTGGGCCTGGGATTTGCTAAAATACTGGGAAATCTGGAACTATTTGAATATCTTTCACTTCTTAGACTTAGTAATGACCAGCACCCAGGGACTCCCTTTTCTTAAAAGACCTATTTTTCCTAGCCTGAGAATGGTGCAGGTATACGCTTTTTTCCCTCGGTAGTCTTTACTGATGCTTGGCCTTCCAATTGAGGGAAACTTAAAATATGTGAATTATGTTTGGAAGAAATGGGAAAGGCCACACGACAGTATCCAGTAGAAGTGACTGTTAGAACTGTAGGTCGGCATCATTGAGAATCTTCAAGCCATGTTGATTAGATCAAAGTGCTGGGGTAAGTGGTTTGAAAATAAGGCTAAATGTGTGTACACAACTGCTTCTGGCCTCCCCCAACCCAGTTTAAAGGATGCGGGGTAAGATCCTCCCTGGTCTGCCTCTACAATGTGATCTTATTGTTTTTTCTCTTAAGTGTATCTGGAGACACCTTGTCTACCAGAACTTTTCTGGGGTGGTTGGGCTGTTGGATAGAATTTGGAGTTACATAGGTCATTGATGTTTGCCTATGCCAAGAAGTGAAGACCTTGAGGGAAAGGAAGCGGTTATAGTATATAAACTGCTTGGCTGTATCTAGTCATTACCTTTAATTTCCGGGGCTGGTTCTTTAATGGATGTGTACACACTAGTTTGTGACTAAATTGGGGGCTGTCAAGCTGGCTTCACACAAATCAGTTGCTTTACGTTAACTTTGCGAGGTCTAGCGTAAGTCAGTGAGTGACCTCTAGTCCAGGCAGGCCATGGTGAGGTGCCTCCTGTTTATAATCTCTACTATAAAATAGTAAAAGTTATTTGTCATCTTAGGGTCTGGAACAGAATCTGACAGTGATGAATCAGTACCAGAGCTCGAGGAACAGGATTCCACACAGGCAACCACACAACAGGCCCAGGTGAGTATTCTCTTATTCACTGGGAGAAGTACTGGAGTCAAGGAAACATGGTAGAACCAGAGTTGATAGAGAAGCTGACTTATGTGTTTGGAGCTATGAACCTTCGTAAAGGGAAAACCACATGTGGATTGCGGTATCCAGGTCTTACGTTCCAGTTTACTCATAGCTGTTTTATCTTCTTAGCTGGCAGCAGCAGCTGAAATTGATGAAGAGCCAGTCAGTAAAGCAAAACAGAGCCGGAGTGAAAAGAAGGCACGGAAGGTAAAATTTTAAGTTAGAAACAAGGATTAAAGTTTCTGATGAAGCAACTTTAGAGAGGGAGGACTGTAGTGGGGCTCTTGGTAATGGTAGAATCATGTTCAGTTAAAGTAACAGAAGTTACTATGGCAGAAAACCCAGGAGTCCTGGAAAGCAATTCTGTGTTCTTTTCGTGTGTGTGAGGAAGATTGGCCCTAAGCTAACATCCATTGCCAATTTTCCTGTATTTTTTGTATGTGGGACACCGCCACAGCATGGCTTGACAAGTGGTATGTACGTCCATGCCCAGGATCCAAACCCTCGAACCCCAGGCCACCAAAGCAGACCGCGCAAACTTAACCGCTATGCCACCAGGCCAGCCCCAATTCTGTATTCTTATATAAAATTTTCTTAGCCCGGGAAAAGGCTTTGCTTTGGATATAGTATTGTTATGTGCCTTACTTCCTAAAGCTGCTTCTACTAAAGTTGAAAACCTGATGTTCTTTTCTGTTCCTTAGGCTATGTCCAAACTGGGTCTTCGACAGGTTACAGGGGTTACTAGAGTCACTATCCGGAAATCTAAGAATATCCTCTTTGTCATCACAAAACCAGATGTCTACAAGAGTCCAGCTTCAGATACCTACATAGTTTTTGGGGAAGCCAAGGTAAGGAAAGTTTTCTTGGGAGTTGCTCTACCAGGCTTTCTCAACCTCAGCACTATTGACATTTTGGGTCAGGTAATTCTTTATTGTGGAAGGGCTGTCCTGTGCATTGTAAATGTTTAGCAGCATCACATCCAGTTGTGATAACCAAAAAAATCTCCAGACATTTGACAGATATCCCCTGGGAGACAAAATCACCCCCCAGTTGAGAACCACTGCTTTAGGCTTAAGCTACTTGTCTTTCTACAGTGTTACATAATCTGAGTGAGGACAGACTATTTAAAGATATGTAGTAGGTTAACCTGAAGTGGGTTTAGAGTGTAAGTTTGGAAAAGATATGATTTCTTTCATTTACTGCATACTGATCTACTCACATGAATCTCTGTATTTTCTGCCCTGTAGATCGAAGATTTATCTCAGCAAGCACAGCTAGCAGCTGCTGAGAAATTCAAAGTTCAAGGTGAGGCTGTCTCAAACATTCAAGAAAACACACAGACTCCAACTGTACAAGAGGAGAGTGAAGAGGAAGAGGTATACAAGGAAATCTTTTATGTTTTTAATCCCCTCCAGATAGTATTATGTTTGTATTGATGGGTGGATTTTGTATTGTTTTAGGCTCTTGAACCCCATTGAGTTAAGTACTTTTTGAGTTATATTAAGAACTAGATTCAAGAAACTCCTGGCTCCAAAGAACTGCTGAAGTTGTTCTTGCCTGTAGTTTATTAAGTGTTTTTCCTCTCTCTGTTAGGTTGATGAAACAGGTGTGGAAGTTAAGGACATAGAATTGGTCATGTCACAAGCAAATGTGTCGAGAGCAAAGGCAGTCCGAGCCCTGAAGAACAACAGTAATGATATTGTAAATGCTATTATGGTAAGTGTCCAAGCCTTTATTCCTTGACTCCCTCTGCCTTGACCAATTAGGGGTGACTTTCTTTTCTGTGTTTACTATCAGCCAATTAGGAAGCCTCATTCTAAAGCCTATTCTGAGTTGTATCAGGTTTTAGTGACCTGAATGCTCTCAGTTTTGTCTGTGACTACCTCTGATGATCTCTTTCTCTTACAGGAATTAACAATGTAACCATCTGAAAACGAGGACTTTTTTTGGTGTTTCAAGAGTATCTGCAGCTTGGTTTGAAATTTGTACTGTTTCTATCATTAATAAAGTTATGGCTTCTTGTTGGATGAACTCATTGGGTGCTTGGTCTCTTCCCCCAAAAAAACATGAAGGCTGTAGAAGTGAGAACACATTTATTAATTACTCTTAAGACCTCAGCTTCAGTTGAAAAGGTTTAGTGCCACAGAGTCCCCACTTAAAATCGCTGCCTTTTCACCTCTTGTCAGAAGGTATTGTACTAGGCTGTTAGGACCTTCTTGTCTTCAGAGAATACAACTTAATTGTAAAGTTTCTTGTTTCCAATTTCTTTCCCAGATGTTAACCGTTAGCAAATCCTGATTCTTCTTTATTTAATAATAGCCCCTTCTCTGACCTACAATCTTTCCGAATATATCTGGCCCCTGTGAGAAGCAGTTGACATTGGTTACATCTTGACATGTAAGAGCTTGGTTGGTACAGGGTTGGAGAGGGTGCCTAATGGATGTGGGTGAAAGGACTGTACTTTGTAGAAAATGGAAAGGTATCTCATAAAGGAGAGGATTTTGACTATTGTATACAGTGCAAACGCTCTGCACTTTCATATACACTAGACAGACATATTTTAATCTACAAAGTAAATTATGTTAGGGTAGCTGTAATTATGCTAGTGGAAACCAGAACTGTACCAGGCAAACTGATAACATGATTAGCCAGTTTATGATATTGAGAGCTCTATTACACATCCTAAGAAGAATAAAATTTCTGAGTTTGGGTTGTTAGAAAATGTTTTGGGGGAAAGCAGAGGACTAAAATTTAGAAATAGGAAGGCTACAAGTAAACGTAAAGCGCAGGGCCTTTTCGTTGCGGTAGACTATTCTGGAGAAGCGCAAGTTGACATCTGGCTGAGAATGATGATGTACTTCCATTTAACTGGGGTAGAACAGGTCAGATCATTTGATGAGCAAAAGTCTCAGGAGGCTAAAGAAAGGCCCCTTGGCTGCCAAATCTGAGTCAGTCCAGTAATTCTCTTTTCAGAAAGGAATTTAGTGATGTTGACTCCTAATTTCTTCCCCCTTCTCAACAGTTAACAAACTGCCAATTCTTGGTTACTTTTTAGAGAAGTATCTTGTTCATGGCTGTTCTTATCACCAGTGCTGTAGTGTTGTTTCTTCCCACCTCAAGGACCTTGCTATTGCTACCTCTTCTTTTCTTCTACCATTCATTAATTCCTTTCCCTCAACTGTTTTTTTTCCACCACACTTGAAATACTTACTTTCTGTCACAGAATGATTACATATTTGTTTCTCAAATTAGGGAGTGTATAGTTTGAAAAAACCTTTTGAAGAGGAATTACTCCTGGTTCTCAAAACTGATTAAATGCCTGTGTTCAAATACTCAATAGACCATTTAACAATATATCTTAAGGAACCTGTGATTTCATCTGTAAAAATAGACCTAATACTCCAAAGCACATATAGGATTGTTAGAAGCATTTGCTAAGACTGAAATTGGCACAGGTTATTTACTAAATGATGGTTGTGATTTCTGAAGAAGAAAAACCTTCTAGTGGGTCAATTTAGCTAGCTATACTCTTGAATATGCAGATAAAAGGCTGTGTGTAGCTATCAGCCAGCTGTTTTGTTTTTAAGAAATTAAACAGAGATACAGTTGGGGACCCCTGTATACCCTTCTTCAGTCTTATTTCCCTCCCTCAAAGGTACCACCATCATGAACTGGTATTTTATAATTGCTGTACATGAGTTGATGCTCCTAATACATATTTACGTACCCAAAGAAGGTAGTGTTCTGAAAGTTCTAAAACTTGAAATAAAATTGTGTTGTACATTACATATCTTCGTACAAATTGATTTCCACTTCAACTTTGTTTCCAAGATTTATCTATGGTAAAGATGTAGTTCTATTCATTCCCTTTCCAGTCCACTGTAGTCTGGCTTTCACCTCTACCTCTCCATCAAATGGCTCTCATCAAGGCCACCTAGTTGGTAATTCTAATGGACGCTCTTAATGCATGGCTGCATTTGTCTTTCCGTCTTCAGATTAGTTTCCTTAACATCATTCCCTTGGTTTCTCTTAAATCTGGTTCATCTTTAGTTTCAAGATACCCAAAATTAATTCCATTACCTACTCTATGTCAAAATTTTCCCAGATGTATTTCTTGCTGACACAGCTATCCATTTAAAGATTTTATTTATTCAGTTTTTTCCCCCCAAAGCCCCAGTAGATAGTTGTATGTCATAGGTTCACATCCTTCTAGTTGCTGTACATGGGACTCGGCCTCACGTTGGAGGGAGAAGTGGTGCCTCGGGGCACTCCCGGGATCCGAACCCGGGCCGCCAGCATCAGAGCGCGCGCACTTAACCGCTAAGCCACGGAGCCGGCCCGACAGCTATCCATTTAGTCCTATAAAAAAGAAACTTGATCTTTACAACTAATGGTTTTGGGGAAACTGGATTTCCACATGCAAAAGAGTGAAATTGGACCCTTATACCGCATACAAAAATGAACTACAAATGGATCAAAAGACTTAAAGGTAAGACTTAAAACCATAAAACTTAGAAGAAAACAGGAAGAAAGCTTAGTATCATTGGATTTGGCAATTATTTCTCTTATATGACACCAAAAGAAGAAAGAAATAGGTAAATTGGATTTCAAAAAATTTTAAATGTTCCTGCATCAAAGGACACAAATCAGTGGAGGAAAAAGGCAACTCATGGATTAGGAGAAAATATTTGCAAATGACATCTGATAATGGGCTAATATCCAGAATAGGTAAAGAAACACAACAACCAAGAAAACAAGCAGATTAAAAAATGGGCAAAGGACTTGAATAGACCTTTCTCCAAACAAGTTATACAAATGGCAAATAAGCACATGAAAAGATGCTCAACATTACTAATCATTAGGGAAATGCAAGTCAAAACTACGATGAGATACAACACACACATCAGATGGCTACTATCAAATAAGTGTTGGTGAGAATGTGAAGAAATTAGAACCCCTATGCGCTGTTGATGAGAATGTAAAATGGTGCAGCTGCTATGGAAAACGGTATGGCAGTTCTCAAAAAATTAAAAATAGGCCAGCCCCGTGGCTTGGTGGTTAAGTGCACGCGCTCCGCTGCTGGTGGCCGGGGTTCGGATCCCGGGCGCGCACTGACGCGCCGCTTCTCCGGCCACGCTGGGGCTGGAGGGATGTGCAACTGTGGCATGCGGCTATCTGCTGGGGCTTGGGGGGAAGAAAAAGAGGAGGATTGGCAGTGGATGTTAGCTCAGAGCCGGTCTTCTCAGCAAAAAGA